CACACACACACACACACACACACACACACACACACACACACACACACCTGGCTGTTTGTCCTCCTGGCCTCCTTTGAGCGCAGCTTCTTCTCCAGATCCTGGATGAGGGCGTCTTTGGAGCCCTGGATGTCTTCGTCTGTGGAGCGAGAGGAAGATGGCCGAGGAGCCACAGACTTCTTCACAATGGGCTTGGGAAGGCTGAGGGTGGAGTGATACAAAGGAGGGAGAAACACAAGTTAGATCGATGAAAGTAAGGAAGTAAAGATACAAACTTTTATCCAGCCCTTGTCCGTAGCTGACCAGTTTAACCCTACAGTGACCTGGACCCGTTGTTGCACTTCATTGGGTGAACTTTTCTTACTAATAGATGCTATTAAATGCATTTAATACAGAGACTGCAAAAAACTGGTGGCCACGCTTGCTTCCTGCTTTTATATAACTGATTCCATCAAACAACACCACTCCTGTTTTGTTATGATGTAATTAATGTCTGTACACTAAATACTAGAGAAAATGTTTCTCACAGTGTGAGATATGTCAGTGAGCAACATTGATTTTGACACATGTATTTGCCCTTAACGGTCTGAGTTTATTTTAGCTGCAGTTTATTTATAATCGGAGCTGAGGTTCCAAAATTTAAAAAACAAATAACTTTTATAAAGTCCCAAATGTCCCTACCGACACATAACTGGAGAGACTGCCCAGATTTCTTTGAAATCGTGGATGCCAAATTGCCGTATACTTTGACTCACATGCTTGGTGCTGCCTTGTAGCTGGCGGGCAAGGAGACCACAGCAGGAGGTACTCTGTTCTGACCGTTGGGAGTGGTGGGCTGTTGCAGAGAGGAGGAGCAGGAGGGGGAGAGAGGGGAGCGAGGGAGGGACGGTGACACTGGGAGAGGCTGCTGGGCCGTCATGGGGAGGAGAGGGCTGCAGGGGGCGGGTGGGAAGCAGGAGGGGGAGAGGGAGAGGTGGGGACGGTTGGAGTTGGGAGACAGCTTGGAGGAGGAAAAAGGGGAGAAGGCAGACGGGGAGGGCAGCACCGAGCAGAGGTAGGCAGCGGGCACCGATATGGTGTCCTGATTGGCCGGCAGGGTGGCGCTGCCGAGGCCGGTGGCACTGGGGATGCTGGGGGTGAGGGTGATGGTGGAGCGCATGGTGGTGCGGGGGAGAGAGGCTGAGGAGGCCGGGATGGTGGGGGCAGAGGGACTCAGCATGGAGGCAGTGAAGGACTGAGGAGGCGCAGAGGAGGCTGGGGTGGCAATGGGAGAGCTGAGACTTGAAGAGGAGGGGGAGGACTTGCCCATGCCGTTGGCGTGGGTCTGGGTCTGGACCTGGGCCTGGGTCTGGATCTGGCTCTGGACCTGGGTCTGGCTCTGGACCTGACTGAGGCTTAGTGACTGAAACTGCGCCTGGGTCTGTGACAAAGACTTGGACACTGACTGAGTCTGAGAGAAAGACTGACTTTGCGTGGACGTCATTTTAGCTTGACTCTGTGTCTCCGTGACGTTCGAATTACTTTGGGACCGGCCGAGGTTCTGCTGGGAGTGGTTCTGATTCTCCTGGGCCTCCTTCAGAACGCTGTCATAGCTGGGTGCCTGAAAGGCCGGCTGAGATTGGATGAAATGCCGCGGTCGCTCATAGTTGAAGGCGCTGGGGGGGAAGACGCTGGGAGTGAAGGTCGGCAGATCGGACAGGTTCATGTTGGGGCCTGCTGGCTGGGAGGACTGGGGGGGCTGGGGTGACTGGAGGGAGATGACACACATTCACAAAAACTGAATGAAGGTAGAATTCTACCATTTGTGATGAAGACAGGACATTGAGGAATGAAGCTACTTAACACAACACATTGTGTAAGACATGTTCTTACAGTGAAGCTGAGCTTGGATGGGCTGAACAGCTTGGGCGTTTGGGCGATCTCCTTGACCTGGGTTGGTGGTGGTGGAGGGCTGGGCGTATAGGCTCGGACGGGGACCCCTGGTGACCTTTGGCCCCCTGAGCTCGGGGCGCGCTCCTCCTCGCTGCGACCAAAGGGCTCTTCAGAGGAGTGGTCGGCCGGCTGAGGCTCTGGATAACTGACAGAAGCAGACGTGAAAGTAAAGATTAGGATTTATTCCTAAAAACTACCGGCTCTGGGATCAGCAACAGAGAGCACAGGGAACCTGAGAGTCCTTTAAGGGTGAACTGATTGAGGAGTGAGGGGGGGACATAAAGAAGCAATACTATGTCTTAAGTGTGCCCATTGAATTGGATTGTAACTATGCTGCGACTCCTACCAGGCTCGCCACCTTGGTCTGGATGAAGGCTACATTCTTGGCAGTCTGGTCAAGAACTCTACTAGCAAAGGGCTTTGGGTTGGAGGTGGAATATAGTAGTGACGCTAAAATATCTCATCTGCCTCCTGCAAGTCCATGCAGCACAAAATGATTAACATGGAAAGGTGTCTTTTCTGGTGAGGGAGGGGGGGGGGGGGGGGGGGGGGGTCAGAGGGATGTTTGTTGTTGTGTAAATTATCTGCTTATGATATGGTAGAAGGTTTGTCTCTGTCTGCTTATGACATGGTAAACACACACCGAGGACATGATTTAGATCGACTAGATCGAGATGCAGGGTCGTCTCATGAATAGAGTCGTGTTACATAGCTTCAGCAGGATTACTTTTAGGAACTCTGACCAACAGGAGTTCCTGTACCGTTGTCTTTCTGCGTTTCTCCTGGTCCCCTGAGGGCACAGGACAGCATCAGCTGACCCAGAGTGACATTTTACAGCTAAACACTGCGCTGCTCCTCAGGGAATACACCATGTTCTAGCACCTGTTTCTACACTACTTGAGACACATTTATAGTATTCTGAAAGGAAATTCATTGTGAGTTATCGGCAGTCATATAGCCCAAAGCTGATGCAATGAATCTGAATGAGACGTTTCATAGCAGACAGAGCACAGGTTCAGTAGTAATGATAGTGATCCTGGCTCATGGAGGAGTCACACCTGAATGTGATGCACCAGTGACTTATGTTATCAATCACAGTCAATATGAGTCAATATGACAAGGAATATGTAAGGAGGTTGGTGTCAGCGGTTGGGTGTGTGTCGGTGCAGGAGGTCTAAAGGTATGAAGGGGTTTAGGGTTATGAAGGGCTTTGTGTGTGATGAGAAGAATCTTGAACTGGATTCTTTGCTGTGAGGGGAGCCAGAGGAGGTTCTGAAGGACTGGGGTGATGTGGTCTCTGGTGCGGGAGAGCAGACTGTGTGTGTGTGTGTGTGTGTGTGTTATTTAGTATGGTGATGGTATACACAGTATGTGTATTTGTATAATTAAGTGGGCGAAGCTATATTGGTCTTGGAATTCGGACATCAGCTGGCAGGTGCAGGCGCTCTACTGGTGAGCCAATCCTTTTAAAACACACAAGATCTGCATGGCATTGTGGGTAGGAGAATGCTAAGCTGCCCTAAGTCCTCTGTATGACCGGTGTGGAGAATTTCAGTATTAAACGCATTATTAGTAGGATTAAATAACACCCCTAGTGGTGAGTAGAAGTGTCACAATAATAAATATGTTAGTCACAATATGTTTCCATATGGAATGTATTATGTTTATAATATCCTCACTTATAGAGGATTTTATATGTTAGAGTATATTAACTCATTGAATGTATTAAATCATAGAAGTATAGTCACTAAAGGTATTATACACTGTATGAATAGTTTTGAGGGTCAGTAAGTGATCATTTTGAGTGAGCCTTTTCAGAGGTGCAGCAGGGGGACGGACAACTGACCAGCAGGTCAGAGAGGAGGAGTTCAAGATGTTTGCCACAAAGGATCGATCCAGGGAGGGGACAGGATTCAAATGGAGCCAATCACTGATCAACGGAGGATCATTCACATGTTTTAGGACAGTTCGGACACTTTCCGACTGTCAGGGGATATAAAAGACAACGTTCGAGAGAGCATTCCTCAGACCACTTCCACTCTCGTTTTTCAGTACCTGAATTCAGACCTGCGAGTGAGGTGCGTGCATGTGGTCTCCGTTCTCGAGAACATTACTATTGATAGTTAATTCAGTTTGTAAGTGAACTTTGTGTAGTACATTAAATATTGTTTTCATTTTTAACCGGAACCAGCTCATTCTTCTGATGCGCGTGCGCAGTAAGAAGCTCGCAGCAGAAGAGTACCTGCGGCCTGCCGGCTCTCTCATCCTTTGGTCTTAAAAACCTAACACCGGCGAACAACAGGAGGGAAGTTACCATCAACAATATATGGATTTTATATTTATATCATGAAACGAGACTAGACATCGCATTAGATTTTGGATATCATAATATGGCATACGTGTTGTAGTTTCCTTTTTTTAAAGGCTGCATTACAATAAAGTGATGTCATTTAAAGTGTCTGTTCTATTATTTGACTTTACCCACTCAGTCATTATATCCACGTTCTTATGATCGTTGAATAAAAATGTCTTTCTGTAAATATTTAGTGAGAGCACCAATGGTCATCCCTACATTATCAATCAAAAATATCACAGTAGTTGATTTTCCCTGTGCTGCCCAGCCCTAAATGTCTCCAACAAACTCATCAATCGGGTTGAATAACTTCTTTACGACCGTATTTTGGTGAAAGCCCAACATGCCATACAAAATGCCTCCAAGAATTTTTGTTTTCACAGCTGACGTAATCTTTAAAAGACAACTCGTCAACACCTCCTCGTCAGACATCATTATTAAGGACACCGACGCCATGTGTGCTCTCCACATGAGATCACCAACACTCTCCTGTAGCACCATGAAACACTCACTGGTCACCATTAAAAACACACTCGCTGAATCAATCAGCAACAACACAAAAAGCTCAAGAGATAAAGTATGACCTAATATGAACTATCGTCCGTGGTATTTTACATGTGCTGTGATATGAATGCACTTTGAGTGGGATAGTTTTGAATATCGTATCCAGTGTTGTCCAACAAGCCGATCATTTATTTGTGGTGCAGTATTAAACACTGCAAAAAATAACATTGTATTCCAAAGCTAGTGTCTGATTATATGCCTGTACGTGAATGCAATTCAATTAAATTTATTTTGTATAGCCCAAAATCACAAATTCTCCTCAGAGGGCTTTACAATCTGTACACATGCGACATCCTCTGACCTTTGACCCTCACATCAGAAAAGGAAAAACTCCCCAAAAAACCCTTTAACGGAGATAAAAGAGGGAGAGACCTGTGGGAGAGCAACAGAGGAGGGATCCTCTATCAGGATGAAGTGTGATAGATGTCATGTCTACAGAGTTTCAACACATTCAATGCATATTCAGACATTATTCATAACGCACCATTCCATTTTCAGTATTTCCTTACACTAAATAGAAAAAGAGAACCATTAGCTATTAGTATGTGCTGTCTGTCATACTGCAAACACAACTCCACAGCACAATAAAGACCGGAAGCAGCTCCACAACATCCCACAGAGAGAGAGAGAGAGAGAGAGAGAGAATATCACATTTCAGCTGTAACGTTACGTTACGTTACATGTATCAGTAAAGTTACCAACAGGCGTCGAATTTACTGCAGCTTGATATAAAAAACAACCCCGTAAAACTGGCTTCTTTTGACAAATAAACGTGTTGGATAAAAGCGAGGAGGACTACCGTCAGACCGTCACTGTGTCCCGTTAGCTTCATTAGGACGCCGGCTGGTTGAGATGACACAAAGCCCCAGAATAGACTGAAGTCCACTTCCCTAGTGCTCTAAACATAGTTCGACCTTTTCAGGAGGACAAAACTAACGTATTACTTTCCCATGATGTAAACAAGTCAGACAAGTTTGCTTGTTCAGACACTAACGTGAATGTATTAGTACACCACAGAGGTTAAAAGTATGACTCCAAACAACAGAAGTCCCCGGCAGGTTGGAACGGGACGAT